GAATTCTGAGAGTTGAAGTCCACTCATCTTAAAGTGGCCAAGTTTGGACAACACTGCTGTACAATAAGTAGTCTTGGAAGACACCGACAAAAGGTGGTTAATGGAAAAAGTTATAATACATTCCAAACAGGGGAAGAATGAAAAAGAAGTGTCTATATCAAAGGTTTTAGAATGCAGCCCAAGATAGATTATTTTTAAGAAGCCTGACATAGTGAAAATTCTTCATGTCCTCTCCCAAATGGACACAATTTTTTTTTTTTTTTTTGGTCATACAGTACCTAAAAAGGAAAACATTTCTAGCTTTTCAATGATAAAAATAAATATTGCTAATATTCAAGTATTTTTAAAATGCCAAGTCTTGACAATGCAGATCGAAATAAACAGTTGCACAAAATAGGGCCAACCGTATCGGAACTTTTGATACATACTAAAATAAGAGAGTATTATTTAAGTTATGAAATGATGGAATGTCATCTGCCAGCTGAACAAAACTGTCCCTAAAGCCCCTCTTAAAGGATGGAGGCAGGCCTATCAGGTCAAGATGGAGAAACTGCAGCTTGATGGCCATTTGCAGGCCAGCTGGAGCCAGGTGCAGCATTCACGTCACTCCCATTTCCGTCATGAACCCACAAGAAGGGTTCAAAAAAAGTCACCTCTTTTTTGGTCTTATCCAACTGCCTTCACTGTACTGAGACCATGCATCTGGGCATATTTGGAGGTCTAAATCTCCAGCCTGCTGTGCTTAAGTCTGGAGGGCTTACTATGTCAGCACCCTGCGTGAGCCCTGTTCCCTGCAGAATCACACTGACAGTGCCGCCTTCTGCAGACACTCGTGCACTGACTGTGGATATCTTCAGGAGAGAAGCCAGATCAGTTTCCACGTGAGCAAGGAACCTGATAATAGGTAACAGATGTATGCACTCAGTTTTTCTCCTACAGACATTCACCCTCAAAATGGGTCTGCAGGAACTGACATAATTTAGGCAATGCTGGCGGGAGGCATTCTGCTCCTGCATTCATGCGAGTGCTTCAAATTCAAGATTAGTTCAATGGACTTATGTAAATGAAATAATTAGTGTGCGGGTTTTGGACTTATTTTAAACTTATGAACAAATTCTGTGGTAATGGGAAGGGAATTACTATAATGTGTGTATGTGTGTATGTTAAAATGCAACAGTTATGTAATTGATCTAATTAAAAGGAATAGTATTAACATTTAATTAAACATTCACTCCCATTTACTTTTTAAAGGCTTTTGATAAGGCCTTGCCCATTCTGCAGTGTGGCCTCCAACAAAGGCTGGCAGCGCTCACACCAACAAAAGTTATGTACCTCTGATACGAAGAAAGGGAACTCCCATGACATGAGCGACATGTCTTTGAGTAATACCAGGTACAGGTAGTCCTCATTTAGCAACCACAGTTGGGACTGGAAATTTGTTTGTTAAACAAAGTGGTTGCTAAGTGAAACCATGACTGTGCTTATGATTTTACTTCAGCTTTCCTTTGCTTTACAGACCTGCAAAGGTTGTAAATGTGAGAACTGATTACTTTTTCATCACTGTTGTAACTGCAAACAGTCACTAAACAAGACAGTTGCTAAACAAGGACTACCTGTATTACCTAATATTTGTAACAGTTCTTTTGAAATAAACAGAGAAATGCCAATTTAAATTCAAAAGTGACTACAATAATCAGATGGGCATATCTTGCATAATTAACTATCCTACTCTTAATCCTGTTTTTTTTTAATTCTGTAAAAAAGAATGATGATTTTAAAGTCTTACATAACATAAATTAGAACTTACTAATTATTATTTTCTACAGACCAGGATTTCCTAATAGTTCCATACCTATATACCACTCAGGGTCATTGTGGGTAGCAACTTTATGCAGGATGCAGAAAATGAGTTCAAAAAAGAAAGCCACAGAAATTTATTTATTTATTAAATTTGTATGCCACCCATCTCCCCCAATGGGTGACCCTGGGCGGCTCACAATTAAAACAAAACCCACAAACAATTAAAAATAAATACCACATTAATTCAAATTAATTAATCAATTAAAAGTCAAGCTATAAACCAAGCCCTATACATAAAAACTAAAAACATGAAGTAAGGCATGAAGTAAGAAAAAGAAATATAGCTAAATCCAGTCTGCACCAAAACCATTCACCCTACCTTTCCATAACTTTCTCTCTTTAGAAACTACAGTACTTAGCTTCCACCACATCCATATGCTGTGTTTTGTTCTTTTAACTTATTTCTGCTCTTTTAGGATCTCATTCAACCACAACTTTCTCAGCCTCCCTCTTCCTCTTGATCCATTCAGTCTTCCTTCATAGGCTCATTTTGCAACTGGATTCCTATTTATTCTATGTATTTTTTTTTCATAACAGCACCAAGACAAGATGATAGTCTATAATAGGCACCAGAGTTTAGATGGTTGAAAATGTTTGGAACCCATTCATTTGGTCCACTCCAGCTACCTGATGAACTTATTTGGGTTTCAGAGAGCACTTTGGGAAATTCCTGAGAATCTAATGCAGAGTTTGACTGGGGCCTTAGTCACTTCTTGGAATGAGAGGGTGGTGATGGCCTTGGATTGAATTACGCCTATGTGGCCTCTCTGGACATGTAGATTTCACAAGGCCCCTGATTTTCAGAGGAATTCTAAAAGATGAACAGGTAGAAGAGACATCTAGAGTACTGCTGGAAGAAGGGTGAATTTGATCAAACACTGCTAACAGCCTTTATTAAGGATTATAGATTTACAATTAGAGCAGCAAAATGTAGTTATTTTTATTGCATCCATGGATTGTTGTCTGGTGGCCTCGTTTAGGGTAACCCAGTCCCAGGGAGAGAAACAATTAAAAGCTCCAGCGAGACGAACTGTGGCTGAGCATTGAGACTTTAGCTGATTCCACAGCTGAGCCTTGTGGTAATGGCTGTGCCAGAGAAAGAAGCCAGCAGAGCAGCTACAAGATGTTGAGGGACACTGACTGGTTATTTTGGCCAGCAGTGAGTGGAGTTGATGAAAGAACTGTAACTTTGCAATTCCAAACAGGATTGCCAGTTGATTGATCTGCAGATATGCTGCTTCCAAAAGAAAATGCTAACAAGTTCAGCTGTAGAGGACTGCTGCAGCCCAGCCATCCAGCTATCTAGTGATTAGTGGTAATGCAGCGTGGTGGCAAGGGGAGAAGGTAACTCCTATTCCTTTCCCACTAGTCTAGATCCTGGAACACAAACCCAATGGTGACATTAATCTGAAAGGGTTTGTGTGCAGGGGGAGGAGGAACTTAATTTCCCACATAGTCCGATGCCCTGGTCCAACCCAGTGATGAGAAATAGAGGCCACCTACAAGTGACAGGACTGGGGGAGGTGAGAAAACTAGAGAAAAACACGAGTTACTGGACTGAAGTGGCAAGGAGTCCTTATATAAGTTATCTCAGAGCTTGGGATAGGAAAAGCTTTAATGGTGTTCAAGGGAAAAAAACCCCCCAGAAAATCACATCCTGTCAGCTTTCTCTGCTAAGGAATAGCTGTTTATTTCTTGTGAAAGCATTCAAGAGTAAAGCAACTGGCCGGGGAGATAACAAGATGCTAGTTTAGCAAAACTGCCAGAAGTGCAGGGAGAAGGCTAGAGAGATACAGCTGAGGGATCAGAGCCTCAACACTGTATTAAAATGCATTTGTCTATGTATTTATTTATTTATAGCCTGTCATCTCACAGCAGTGACTCTAATAAAAGCACATTCAGCAGAAAGAATTCTATATGTTATTTCAGGCTTGCATTATCCCAAAAAGTACTCATAGAACACCCTGACGATATTCTCCCCCTCAGACATCCAAAGTATCTGTCTTTCTTTTTTCATTTCATTGTTGATCGTGGCGGTGCCATTTATCCCTCTTACATTCCATGTTGGAATCTTCTATGCCAAGATTGTCCCCAGACAGGCCCACAAATATTGACCTCCCCTTCCCAGCCAATCATAACCTTTCTTAGTAGGATACAGAAGTCCTAGACTAGTTACTATCCATGCCTCATGCAACATTTCCTGCTAAAAGTAAAGATAGTGTGGTC